CACACAAACACACAGTGAAAGGCGGCATAGAAAAGTTGCATATGTAAAAAAGGTTGTAAAATATTGCGGCACTAAAAGGAGTTATCACATTTCCATCGGGGTTGACGCTTTTAAGTATTCCGGTTTTCATAAATGAACAAAACCGAAGGAAAAAAAGAAAAATTCGCAACACGAAAATTGCACATTACCTGTAGTTATTTGAAGAAAAAAAATTTCTTTTTTTGTCAAATAAATTTTATTACAAAAGCGCATATTTTTCATTTAAAATAAAACAAAAAAAAATTTTTTTTTCAAATTAATCAAATATTTTTTTTGTCATATTGTTTTTACTATAATCTTTGTTGTATTTTGCTGCTGCTGTTGCTGCTTTGTTGTTGTTGCCGCTGCTGCTGTTGTTATTGTATGTTATTATAACAAATAGATATACGCAACGTATAAACGAGGCCAAACGATTCATTGGCATTTTGTCATACCACTGAATAAAATGAATCAATGATTGTGGTGGTGATGATAATCATTCGGCTTTCTACGGTTCCCTGCAGATCCTTCGTTTTTTTTTTTTTCTTCATTTATTAAGTGAAACGGCAAAAACATGCGCCATGAACCTGGCGTATAAAAAATCCACCCAATTATTGTCATTCCGACCAGCCTTTCTCCCCGACCCTCTTCTGAACCATGTGGCGCTTTTGAGATTCGGTTCACCGGAATTCTTTTGACGAAGCATTATGTTCACGTTTGACTTCTCCATCCTCTACTCATAAAAAAGAAAGGCTCCGGAATGACAAGTAAGATATAACTGTGTGGCTCAACATAAAAAAAGAAAACAGAAAGTAACAATGGTGGGGAGTCAATACTTGCTGTTCGGTTATATTTTAGCCTCTTCCGTTTTCACCCTCACCCCCTACCCTCTTTTTTGCGTTAATTTTATCCCATTGAGGAGTATAGATATGCATCGACCGTAACTAGTAACTGTTTGTGGTGAAAGTGTTGATAAAAATTGAGCTATATAAAACTTTGAACAGCTTCAATTATCATCGGCAGAAATCAGTTCAGTTTCTTTTTTGTCTTCCTTTTTTTT